TTTTTAATTAAATGAATTTATTATTAATATTAATTTGTAAAAAATATTTTCAATTTAGTCTTACGAGAGAGAAGTTAGAAATATTTGTGTTTGTATAGATTTATGAACTTGACGATATTGAGTGAAGAAGTAAAGCGGATTAAGAGCACGTATAGTTATTAACGTATGGCTTGAGCATTTTGTTTCATCTTTAATGCCTATTTAAACTTGGAGAGTTCTCTGGAAAGGCAGAGCTGTTACGCAGTTGGATATTTATATAAAAGTTTGAGAGCAATGTCAACATCTTGTCACTTTCTTTACGAGTCAAGATGTTGGCCACCGCTCCCCGGGTGTTCATAAAATAAGGATGCTGCCAAGCAGGAAGAGGCGGCCGCTTTGTTTGGCAAAGCAAACGGCACCCGCGTCCCCCATAAGCCGGCAGGATGTTGCTTGGGGCGGAAATTGTATTGGCCATAAAATGTTTGGTGGCTTTTGAGGCACAGACACAGACACAGACAGAATCAAGGAGTTGCTTCGAGCTGGAAGCTACGACAGCTATTTTTAGATTAAGCCAAAGGTCGTGCTGGCTGTGGCACATGGAACAGCCCCGCCAGCATATTTTTGGGCTGTGCATGAAAATTTAATAACTTTGTACAAAATATATATCGACAAAGGTTTGCATTTACTTGATGGCTTGTCAAGTGCACTACAGCAGGCAGCCACTAGTACTAGATCGTTCACTAATAATTTAAGAGCTTGTCAGTTAAATAGTTTGTGCTGTTTATGCACCTCAGCACACGTAACTAGCCTCAGGTGAGTCAGCCGAACCGAAGCGCTGATGTACCTAAGAGTCGGAGCTCAAGTTTGGACACAGACTCAAACTCAATCATGTCAGTAAAATCGATTCAATTATTTAAGATGGCCTGAGTTATTAAATATTTAATAATCCATTCAATATTAAATTAAATAGTTTTTACTTGATGCGAAAATGTAAAATGTAAAAATAAAAGAAATACATTAAATGTCATTGCATATTTTCTCAGCCTTTTTTTTTCTAGCACCAATTTGAATTGGGTCTAAAGCACAAAAGCCTAAGAGCCAGTAAGCAGCAACACTTTGTGAAGTGAGATGGTCATTAAAAGTTGAAAGCGGGCCACAGCCAAAAGGGTCGCTAAATATTGATAACATAACAATTAGATTAAACGAGGACTAAAGTGGAGCTAAGGAGTTGCTCTGTCAAGCCACAAAAGCGAAATTGAGATGCAGTGAGGAAAACCTTAAATTGCAAATTGAGTGGGCGAGAAACAAGGCAAAATGTTGCGACATAGCCACAAGGTGCTGGCTCTCGCTCTGGCTCCCTGGTCTGCTTCTGTTGTTGACAGAATTAATTGCGCACGTTAGCGACGGGCGCACAGCACAAAATTAAATTGCAAAACGACGTGCCAGCAATAGCAGGAGCAGGAACAGTAGCAGCAGCAGCAGGAGCAGGAACAGCAGCAGCAAGAACAGCAGCAGTGGCAGGAACCCGTAGCACCAGCAAGAGCAAGCGCGTCAGCCACTGTGGTCCTTGTTGCCGCAGGCATCTAGGAACGGAATTGAGTTAGGCGCTGTTTTTCATTCCAACTATAAACACATTTGCAAGGCCAATAGACGCTGCGCAGTTGTGGCCGCGCAATTGCGTTATGTCGCCATACAAAGGCTGTGCACGAGGCATGCCAACAATGTTGCGTATACGCCGCCTATGACCAACGCAATATTTCAGAAATTTAACTTGGAAGACTTTAAGAAATTTCTTTCTTACGTGATATAGTTAAACCACAAAGACAACGCCAAGTCAGGCCATGATTAATATTTGTTCTCCACAGAGTTGAAAGCTTTAAGATATTGACTTCATAGAATACATATTGCTTAGTCGACAATTTGCTACTTTAATTCTTTTGCATCTGTTAAAGCTCTGGTCGTGCCGATAAAGCGCTATTTGTACAGTCTCTGCTTATCCTCTATTAAAGCAGGTTTAGGGGCCCTAAAAAGCTGCCAAAATGAAATGACCAACATTTACGCTTCAGGCTGTGAATTTTACACTTGGGATGACCTTTTCATTCAAGCACAGCAAATAGAAACACACACCGACATACACCCACCAACACACACACACACATGAGCAACAGAGACTGACTTTTGAAAGCAGTCAGCAGCTATTAGCGTTATGCAAATAGAACTAAGAGCAGTCCAAGCCCCAATACAGCATCCAGAATCCAAGCCAAACCCCCACCCTAGCCCTCCGCCATCGACATCAACCTAGGGTTGCGAGTAATTTAAACATTTTTAGTAAGTGCGCGCTTATCAAACGCGTTTTAGCATTTTATAGAGCGTGCGAGTTTTATGTTCATTTGACTGGCTCGCAAAATGGATGTGGCATAGGAATGGGGATAAAAGAATGCCGAATTAAAAGCTGCATAGCAATGACGACATTATGATACCCTGTATAAATACAGAGAATATTTTTGAATATTTGCAATTAAAATTGCTATAACAAAGATGAATCTATATGGTACGTAGAACACTTTTTACTCATCTTTCGGTTCAATACCAAAGTCAGAGGCAAATTGATGTCAAATGATAAACAAAGACATAACTCTGAGTACAGGATGTCTATCTGTTATCTTTCTTTACTGAATTCATAAACTTCTGAGAATATTAAATGTTCTCTGCTCGGTGTTCATTTCGCCAAGCGGAACTGCATAGTTGAATAAACAAGAAGACAGATATGAGATATCAGAAAATATTTTCTCTTTACACATTTGAGTTGAAATGTTATGAATGATATTACACTCGGAAATTCAAATTATATAAATAGAAAACAAAATTATTTAAACTAACTGAATACAAAAGTCTACTTGATGCCAATGTTTAATGCAGAAGAGAGAGAGAGAGAGAGAGAGAGAGTTCATAAACCGACTTATCATTTTGTATCTTTTGATTTTATAGTCTTTAAGTGATATTATCTAATAATAATGCATAGATAATTTTATAGTCTTTAAATGACATTTGGAAAATCAAGACAGAATATGGCTTTCGAGCTATAATAATGAAATTGTATAAGGTATTGAAAACAATCGAAGCTTTTAATGAGTTGGCTTACACAGGAATATATTATATATAAATAAAAATTCTAAATTGGGATAGGGCTACATAGACTTAGCTTGTGAGGATCTATAATTTAAATAGCCCGGGACCGACATCTCTTTCGTTTTTTTCTTCTAACACAAATTTGCTAAAATGAACATTATATACTTTTTCCGTGAGTTCAGGTTATAAATCAGTTTCATAAATTTATTTTCCGCAGCTTATAGAACATTTCTGTTATCATTATATGGAATCTTGCTGAACTTTTTCTTTAAAGTTGACTTTCTGCAATTTTTTCGCAAACTTTTGCCGTATCTCAACGCGAAACTGAAATGAAATGTTTTTTTTTTCTGCCGTAGAAAATTCAGAAAAAAAGACACGTAGACATTGCGCTTTTACGTTACGGCGTAATTTGCTATTTTGTAGCATTTTGGTAGCCTGAAGACATATAACAATTTTTATGAGTGTGCGTGCATTGTCTCAACACACACACACACACACACGCAAACACACACACGCAAACACACACACACAAACACATTCTCCCAGTTAGTTCATAGCACCCCCTTTTTAGTTTCGCATCATTTGTTGGCATTACTTTGGCTGTCACTTCCGCCGTGCGTTAATATTTATGTCTTGATACGACTCGCCTTAGTCTACGTTCTCAGCTGTATCGCTCCTTCCGTACTGCCAACTACATAGTTCATATATATGTATATATATCTAGAAATATATGTAAACCTTTGTATGTATGTGATATGTGCGTAACTTTTGCCAGTTTTTCCGTTTCCTGTACTCGTCGCCACTTCCGTGCACTTTGCCCTTTGTTCCCTTCTACACATTTATCTTGATTTTCCCTAGCGCTAGAAGCAAGACAACGGGATACTTTAGCATATGTTTCCACAGCATCCGCCATATGCTCGGACGGACTCAATCAAATTCGTTTAGTACTGCAAATCAAATCACTTAGAGCCATAAAAAAAAGAACGTAAAGATTCAATTGTATTCCAACTAGTTAAGGAAATGTGGGCCTAAAGGTTTAAAATTAGTTTGAATGAAAGCATATGCGAAAATAAGGCAATATGAAATACAGTTAGTTTAATACTTTTGCATATTTAATAAAAAACAATACATATTGTCTCTGCTCAGGCTGCAAATTAATTACAGAGCAAATGATAAGTCAATTTGCATTATTCCGATATTAATTGCTTTCACAACAATTATAATTATATTTTGCAGCTGCAGCACAGTGGGACTTTAAATGAAAATTACAATTAATTAGGATACTTCACTGAAAGTATTCCTCTACAGCAAAGCATAACAACAGTTCGTAAGCTTAAAAGTCCTTGAAAGCTTTTTCTAATGTCAAGATAAGTGAAGCAGCAGAGGTGATTTATGTATGAGAACGTTTTGAATACATATAAATTATATTTATGCATTTCACTTTAAAGTTTTGGATTTGAAAACTCTTAATCTAATAGCTGATTAAATATAATTTAGAGATTTAACTAAAATCTAAATTTTTAAAGTTTCTTATTGAAAAAGTCAAGTTTCTGTTGGTTAGAAAAAAAAAATATTTTTTGTTGCAAATGTGGTTATTGATTTCATAGTTCTTAAAAGCAAACTGAGTCTAATGGCTGATAGCTGAATAGGATTCCGATGAGGGAATACACAAAACCAAAAGAACTTTGCTTTTAACCGTTATGCTCACACAGTTTTTCACAATTTCTCGTGCAGCTAATTAAAACTGAGCACGATTTCAAGGGGTTACAGTTAATCGATTATATTATTTCTTTTTATATCCTGCCAGTACCATAAAATCAGCTGCCAAACGCTGCCAATTGGCCGTCAATTTGATTTAGCCAAGTTGTACAACAGTTGTACAGTAACAAAATGAGGCTAAGTGCAGGTCAGAAAAATGGTGTCTATAAAATTAAAACGATAAAATTGATTGAACGTTCGAGACCATTGCGCATGTGGGCCAATGGCCAACGAATAAGTCTTTAAGAATGGGCAGCAATGCAGGGCTATAAAAGTCTACAAATGTGCTCCAATTAGTTGAAGAGTTACAAATATAAATTTCAATGTTAAATTGCTAAAATATATTTACAAAACAATCAAATTTAATTTTACGCTAAAATCTAAAGGCTAAGTAATTGTATGTAAGGGTTTCACTTGTGGTCAAACCCGCATTAAATATTTATGCTGCATACTTTGCGGCGCGGCCATTGGCTGGGCTGGCAATTATCCTGTGAATTATAGACAGGCGGACGACACAGACATGGAATGGATAAAAAAGGACTGCCTACAATGTCAGCCCCCATCTTCACACTTGACACACGAAATACTGGCACGTTAATATGCCTCACAATGCGAACGCCCACGCCACCCAGTGTCCTGCTGTCCAGCTGTCCAGTGTCCTACGGTGGTGCTTGGCATACAAGTTTGATGTCGTCCTTAAATTTAAATAGCCTCAAGTTGTCGGTGGCCTTTGCGTTTGATTTGCCAGCATTTCAATTCAGCACAGAGCATTTTATTTTATTTTTATTTGCCTGCCAGCCAACCGTCTGTCGGAGGCGGACATAAATTCTCAGCCTTGCGCCRTTGCTCTATTTATTTATTTATACATTTATTTTGAGGCCAGCGCTTTGATTTGATTGTGCACTGCAGTGGGCTGAAGATTCCCCAGCACAGGTAGCCAGCGCAGCAATGTAGGCAATGCAAAGTGCATAAAAGCCTTGAAGTTGCTGACGGATCAACATCTATACACACATACATATGAACAAATATGTTTTTTATATGTGAGAATGCCATATTGTGCGCACGTGGAAGCATTAAATATGCCTGAATGCGACAGGCTTCTTAATTGCTCAGGTGAATTGTTCATTTAATGGAGCTCGACTATTTTTACAATAATAGTACTAACTTTGAATTTTTCCAATATATGTCTAATTTCTTAATACGAAACTCAGATTGAAAGCATATGCAATAACAGCGAATATACTATTTTACTTCTGAAAAGTGCCATAAAAATAAATAAATATAAATACAACTTGAAAAAAGTACTCTTTATTTTTTTGTTGGTCCATTATTTAAATGAATTAAATGGTCTTTGAGTCAATATTTAACAGTTTGATAGACATGAAACATATGGCTAAGTTTTAAGTTATTTACTTTTGATTGTGAGGAGGATCGATTGATATTGAATATATTGTTAGACTTAAACTTATAAAAAATTAAAAAGAAATTTGAATTTGTTTATAGAATACTTGTTCTATCTTAATTTTAGGTAAATAGAAATTTAT